GAGAGGTACTCGCACCTGGAATCTGGACTTCAGGAAGACATTGAGTGACTTTTGGGCTTCCCCTCAAGAGGGAGACTTGATCGGAGGCTGCCATATCTGCATCGGATTGCTGCAAGTTGCTACTTTGGTCTTCAGGCATCGACGGGGGATCCGACTTTGCAACCGGGGTGTAGGAAGGCCCTCTTAGTCATGCTAGGACACTTCGTGTAGTGGTAGCTAGGGGTCAGGAGGACTTATATGAGAGGGGAGTGACTCGTTATCCATCTTGGGAGGCCGGGCCTCACAGGTAAGTGCCGTGTGACCTGGGAAAGCCCGTGGGAGGTTGCTTGGTGCTTCATGGCGTGTTGGGGGTGTGCTGGGTTCTCTTCCTCTTCTCTGCGGTCTTGGTTGTGTGTGTGAGCTCGTGGATTGCTTTCTCACCTTTTGGATGGATGGATGATGTATCTACTCTAAATGACATATCTTTCTACAGCACATTGTCTTTTCATTTTTGAACGGCTGTAGAAGTAAGTTCTTGCTGAAAGTTGTCTTTTCCTTTTCAGTACGGTAGAGGCAGTTTGGGACCGACTTGGTACCCTATCACGTTGGTCCTGGTCCACGGCCTACTTGGGACCACTCGGGACCCAGTGGGACCAGGCCCAACGGGACAGGACCTTTCGGGCCCAGATCTGTTGCCGCCAGTGCATTTTTTTGCTTTGCTGGATTTGGGGGACATACGGACAGCAAGGGCATTCCTTTCAAGGGGATCTTGACTGGCCTTACCGCATGTTAGCACATACTGGCCCGTGTCTGACTCGGCGACCATCTGCACCCCTCGAAATCTCCATTGCTGCAGATTAGTCTTCTTCGTCTGATTTATTGTGATGCATGTCCCCTGTCAGGTTAGACAAGAGGGGATCTCCAGCTGATCTGATCGGGCCGTTCTATAAATCAGACCTCTCTGCTGTTTTATTTTTTTATTTGTTTTATTTATTCTTCTGCTGCGTGCCACGCTCTAAGTCCAAATGATTCGCCGCTCCGGCTAGGAGTTCTACCTTCTTCTCTGAGTGGTTTTCTGTTTGTTTCTTTTATCTGAACTATCTATGGCCGGTATCAAGACGCGTGCGCAGACAGCGAAAAGAGAGGAAAGGGAGAGAGAAGGTGTACTGTTTGAGAGTGTGAGAAGGGGTAAGAGGATTGTTCGTCCAAACGTAAGGAGAGAGCGAACCCCTCTTGAGAGTTCTACTGACACCCCTTCCTCCAGCATGGCGGTCATCACATCTGACCAATGGCAGGCCATGCTGGACGCAGCGGACGAGAGCCAGAAACCGTTCTTTCAAAAACTGTATGATGATGCCGTGTAGAGGGAAAGGGAGGCAGCGGCAGCAACTAGAGCCGCCGACATTGCTGATCAGGTGGCTCTCCTTCGGATCCCGGAAGCCAATGCTGACCGGTTCCAGGAGAAACTAGCTGCAGCCTTGGTCCGACTGCGGACCTTGGAAAACCTTGAGTCTCGTATGACAGCACTTGAGCAGCGGAACGAAGAGCTGCAGGCTAAAGTAATTAGCCTTGAACAGTCCCAGCTGTCTGCCTCCCGCCCTCCTAACCCTCGATCTGCTATAATCCCAACCTCTCAAGCCAACATAGCCCTCGTGCCAGGGGCAAGCGGAACCGTGGCAAGCGCAGGAACCGGCGCCAGCTCCTCGAGCGGTAGCACCGGCAGTTCTGCGCTGGTCACAGTCCCGAATGCAGGGACTTCAGCCCAAAACACCACAGTCCTTACTGGCGTTCAGTACAGCGGTCCCATGGTGGACAAGTGGGCGGCCACGCTGCCGTCCAAGTACGACGGGAAGGCAGACATCACCTCTTGGATTAGTTCCATGCGGTCGTACTTCGAGGTCATGCAACGCCGTGTTCAGGGGAGCGTGGAGCTGACTTTCTTTAAACTGCTCATTAACCGCCGATACATCCGTGTGCTGATTGACAGTGGTTCGACCACTAATTTCTTCTCTCCGAACGGGATTCGTAAGGCGGGCCTGGGTATGAAGCAAGTGGAACTGCAGAACCCTTGCCGGACTCAGGTGGGCAACCAAGAGGTTGTCACTTCCACTCATGCTGTCAAAGGTGTGCGCATCACCTTTGACAAAGATCGCACTGTCACACATGAGCTGAATTTTTACGTCCTGGACAAGTGTCCTTTCGATGCGGTCATTGGCTTGGGCTGGCTAAAGGCTAATTGCCTAAGGACCACGTGGGCGGACAACCAGTTCGTGGTACTTGACGCCAAGGGGAACGAGCGTACCGTCTTGTTAGATGAGACGCGCGAGTCCCTTGTGACTCTTCTCCGTGCTAACAAATTCTGCAGGTCAGTGCGCAGGCGCAAGGAAGCTGAGTTTGTACATATAGCTCTTGTAAAGCCTCTCCATGTGCCTTCTACTTTTGCTGCATTTTCTACCTCTGAAGGTAACTCTACCTCTACTACTTCTACTTTTGTTCCACCTACTTCTACTGTAAATGATCAATCTATTCCTGATCCAAATACTTGGAAACCGGTTGTGATTGCTGTAAATTCTCGATCTGATTTTCTCTCCCCTGATGAGGATGATCCGCCACCGGAAATCCCAGCGAACATTCGCCTTCTCTTAGATCGATTTCCTGAAGTTTTGGCTGAACCTCGCGGAGTACCCGAGCGTCCAGTCAAACACAAGATCGAGATAGTAGAAGGGAGTGTTCCTCCAAAGGGCTGCGTCTACCGTATGGGACAAGGCGAGTTGGAGGAGCTGCGGAGACAAATCGATGACATGATTGATCGTGGATGGATTAGGCCTAGCGAGTCTGAGTTTGGCGCACCTGTTTTGTTTGTACCAAAGAAAGGAGGCAAACTCCGGATGTGTATTGATTATCGTGGCCTGAATTGAATCACCCAAAA